CACACACACACACACACACACACACACACACACATGCTGCTCCCCTCTTTCACACAAACACACACGCATGCACTCGTTGCACTCTCCCCGTCTTTACAAACGTAGCTCGCAGACTGAAGAGTGAGACTGAGAGTGTGTGTGTGAAACATGAGGTTTTGGGAAAACGTGCAAGGAACAAGAAGGGTACATGTGTTCCGGCTTGTGCACACACACACACATGCTTTTGTATTTTTATTTTTTTTTTTACCTTACGTCTCCTCTTTAATTCTCTTCTTTGCAGCTCGACGTGTTTCGGTGACAGCAGTCCTGCAGAGACAAAAGGTGAAGCGACGCTGCACAGATGTTGCCAGGTAGGTAGAGAGCAGAATAATGGGATCAATACTATTGTCTGTAATCTACCTGCTGCTGGACTCCCTGTCTGGCTCCAGCAGAGAGCATCAGAGAGAGAAGGTGAATCAGAATCACCCTGCCTGCAAGAGGAGAAGAAAAGAAGAGGCTGGCTGTAAGGTGAATCCCTCTTTTTCTACTTACAGTGTAAAACTAGCTTTTGTGTCTAATGCAATTCGATGCAATTTCGTCTGAAACTTTGTTGGCGCTTCAAATTCACCGACAACGGTAGAACGAGCCATGCTGGGCTGTAGATGCATGACTGGATCCATTCTCATGAGCCTTTGTTGTAAATCATCAAGGCTGCTTGTTGCTGAGCTCACGTCTCTTGCGTTATGCTCAAAAGGCACCTTGTTTCCTGTCATTTGTCACACTTCCATTGTAAAATCAGCAGCTGTCAAGTCGTTCAGATGATTGATAGTTTTGCGACGTGCGTGCACTCAGTCCACTTGCACCTGCAGCACTCTGACCTATGAGCATTTAGTTTGATTGATAATTGACAGTGTTTGGACAAAGCCTGAAATCCACCTGCAGACAAATTCATAACTCGTTCCAGTTGTGACACGTCTGTCGCTCTCAGTGCTCCAGCTGTTATGCACAATTAAAACAAAGACGTTTGTAAAGCTCAAGTTAAAACGCTGATTTCCAAAATCCAGAGGCCTGTAGTGTATGAAGTGAAACAGACGAATAATATACACGACTGCAGGTCCGTTGAATTCAAGCGTTGATTCTAGATAGAATATAAATGCATTTGTTTGCTGAGAAAAATGAGAAAATACAAATTTATCTTTGTTTCCACATGCATGATCACATGCAGTCTCCCCATCTGTCCAAGTCATTCTGTCTGTCTACCAGCGGGTGGCATTGCCTTCTAGTATTTTTTGCACGATAATTATTATTATTTTCTTTCATCAATAAAAGCACACAAAATAATCACATATTCATACATTTCTCTTTTTGTCTTTCTCATTTTTGCTCTAGTTTTAGCTGGGCTTGTACGTCCGACGATTGTTTCCGTCTTCTTCTGCTTGGATCGACGAAACAGAGCACGACGTTGATAAAACTGTGCATTATAACATGTTAAAAAGCTATAAGACACGTGTAATTTATAGTTTCTCTCACCTGAAGCATTAAAATCTTTAAGAAAATGTACGGAAAGTATAAATCTTGAAAAAAAAAACTTAGCAAAAGCTCTAAATAAATGATTTAAATCATTTTAAGATTTAGCAGTTCGTGTGCCTTGTTGATTTATAATCATTTTATCCATTATAGTATCATAAATAATTTAAGCTAATGAATTTATTTGTGATAGAGACTTCATGTCCTATGTTTTTAAAAGCTTCTTGGCTAACTGAGCTTTAAAAAGGGCACTGAACAGTTGAAATAGGCAATAAAAGCTCAATTAATTATGTTCAACATGCCTGTGATATTTACCAACAGGTTCAAGCTAATCGTCTCCCTTTAATTAATTCTCATGATGCATTGCTGAGATTCTTTGTGCTCTGCTGTTTCTGACTGCTGTGATGAAAAGCAGAAGATTGGCCTGGAATAAATAATGTGCTGTTTATTGCAGCAGTTTACGCATTAATTAAACCGCCCGGGTTCATTTCTGATCCGCAGCAAACCAGGAGCCCGGCTGGTGCCGCAGAATCCAAATGTCAGATGAGGTCATGCCTTTGTCTCGGGTGCTGCGGCTCTGCGGTCCTTTCGGTTAATTCTTCTTTTTTTGTGTTTTGTTTTCTCTTAAGTCTCACCACTGGACTTTCTGTGCACAATAAATGGCTTTGTTTTCACACCCTCCCTGTGCATTTTAATTTTACAGTATGCCCCTCTGTCCCTGAGACCCTTAACCTGTGAGGTCAAAGCAGGTCACAGGTGAGGTCCTCGGGAACAGGGCTGCATTCAGTTTCAACGCCTTGTTTAAATAGAGGAATAGTTAATAGAATTTTATTTTCCCCCCAGAAATTTGTGTTTTTTTTAAGGTTTGATATTTCCTTTTAAAGTGTTTTAAATGCAAAAGAAGTCTCAGAAGATATTAAGGTTTTTCAGGCCAAAGCAAGAAGCAAACATCATGACTCCTGTCCTGCAGCATGGACTCTATCAGGGGGCCGACCCTGCTGGCTGCCTTTGTGTTTTAGCCTCCACCGGGGGCCACTGAGAAGGCAGCCGAGGTTTGTGACCCCGTCGTATGTGTCACCTTAAAAACTCAAGCTCAAGTTTCTACTTTGTGCTGGAGAAGTTGCTCTGTTGTTTTATTTCTTTAAACCTCGTGAGTTAATAAACAGTACCGTGCATGCGAGTAACTTATTGTTTTTCTGGCAACAACCTGAAAGCAGGTGCGTAACAATGTCCAAAATATTCTTAAAGACGTAGTTCCCATCTTTTCATATGTGGTTCTGTAGAAACGTTACGAACAATTAAAATCTTACCTGCTGTAGTAGCTTTTTGAGCAACTTCAACTGAAAAGGAGAATTTAATTTGATCTGACTGAGGAGCTAATGGTTAGTTCAAGTTCAAGTTTCGTTACTGTCGTTCGCATCACATGTAGCACATGAGGTGGAATGAAAATGTGTACTCAAGGTCCTAGTTACACCCAAAAATAATGAAAGTAAACATCAAACTAGTCTGAATGGATGCGTTTAAACAACCCAGTTTAAAGATTTTATTGCACTTTATACAAACTTCTTTTTTACATAGGCCTATATATAAATATTTGCACTGTCATTCGTTTTAAATCACAATCAAAAGTACAAGTACATAATGTTTGCCTGAACTGCTATAAAAATGATCTGTTTAGAAACAACAACAATCCATTTAGGCTTGACCTTTCTTGGTCAGAGTTAAACTCCATTTCTCCAAAAAAAAATTGTTTTTTAAGAGCTTTCTACAACAGGTAAGATATTTACTGCTCAGGACCTTTCCAAAGTACCCACTTTAAAAGATCTGAACAATCGATGTAAGTTTTATCCAGCACTGTAAAACACTTTTCTTGCACCGAATAAAAACCTGTGAAGTTCTGCACTTGTTAATTAAAAACATTTCATCATATGAAGCTCTGAGCGAGCGGCGCGCACACGTGGGGACATTTATCAAAACGTCCTTGTAACAGAACACACTTTGTATCCACCCAGGCACAAACACACAGATAAGTGTGCACACACGCACACACACACACACACACAGAGAGAGAGAGAGAGAGAGAGAGAGACTCAAGTTTAGGGATTTTCCACGTCCAGCCATCTGACTGGCTCAGACTTTGGCAGTCCTGGAGCACATGCTTGCCTGATATTGATTGGCCTGTCTGTGTGGAGACAGATGAATGCATTAGTACCCAGCTCACCCTGCCACTGGAAATATATTAAGTTCGTGTATTAGGCACCCTGTCTGGTTGCCATGGAGATGCACCAGGAGTGAGGGACCGAGGAGAAAAAGGCGAGGGGCGGGGAGAGGAGTAGGCTGGAGGGATGAGGAGGATGGAGGGTGTGTGTGTGTGTGTGTGTGTGTGTGTGTGTGTGTGTGTGTGTGTGTCTGTGTGTGTGTGTGGATACAGGATGTGATGAGGCAGTTGACTTGATTTGTAGTCCCGCTCCCTCTTCGTCTGTCACTCGTGTGTCCTCTCCTTCCTCCCACCCAACCCCCTCCTCATCTGTCCTGTCTTTACTTCAACATTTCCTAAACTTCATCAGCAAAGAATACGCCATTTCTCTGACGCTCTAAAAATGAATTTTGCTGTCCCTTTGTTCCTTTTTTTAATAACCATCTGGCTCTGGGCGTGTGTGTTGCAGTCCTCGCAGATCTGGTGTTTGTTTACTAGAGTAAATTTCTCTTGGGTTCTTGTGCTGATACCATTTATCCCTGCACATACATAAGCATTTAACTGGCTTTTCATCTGCCCCATTCCATCACCCCAGCCCCCCCACCCCCCACCCCTCCCCTCAGCCACTGCCACCTCCCTCCTTGGCTCACGCCATCTGAGCTATGCAGTAAAACTGGTGCAATGAGGCAGCAGGACACGGGGAGACAATAGAAATGAGGGAAAGGTGCTCTCCCCTCTCAAACTGGAGCACGTTCATAAAACCAGACACTTCCTTAATATGCACATAATGGTGCTCAATACTCCTGAGCTTCCTGTGCTGCAGGAACCTTGTGCACCTGTGGTCACCATGAGAGCAGAGTTTGAACAAAAACACATTGTCTGAGTTTGAAGCTCGTGCTGAATGAAAATGTGCACAACTGTTTTGTGGCTTGCGTGTGTTAGCTTGTTGTTTTGTGGCTCTCTGTGCTGCTACCAGTGCTTTGTTGATGTGGAGGACAGTCTGCGGCTGTGCTGGGGCCACGTTCTGACTGAGGACAACGTTAGAAACGTCGATGAGTGCTTCAGGAAGCTGGACCGCATCTTCAACACAAACGAGACGGTGATTGAGGCTGGCAGAGTTGGTACGAGACAAAAGGTCTTCTCACAACAGATTTATACAGTTGTGATGGCAGGTTGTGTAATTACTTGTTTGTGTGCATCTTTGTTCATTTGTAGGGCTTTTATAATAATAATACGTTATTTATAAAGCCCTTTAAAACAATAGCAGCTGCAATTAAGTTAAGTGCTGTACACATAAAATCAAGAAAATTTAAACACATAACAAATAAAACAGTTGTTAAAACATTAAGATCAATATAAATAGTGCAAATTCAGTCTGTGCTAAAAGCCAGGGAGTAAAAATGTTTATTTGTTTGTTTGTTTATTTAAGGATTCCCATTAGTTTCTACCGTAGTAGAGACTATTCTTCCTGGTGTCCACACCAAAATCATTCATGCTTTTACAAACATACAAACAGACATAATAAAATACCCAAAATAAAACAAATATAAAAATTCAAATCAACCGTGTCAATAACAACATTTTACAAGCATTACAAAATTACAAAATACTTTAAAACACACAGGAATTAAAAACACACAAAAAAAATCACCAATTCCAAAGTTAACAAACAAATTTAATTTCCATTATAAAATTATCATTTCATAAATTCAATTTTATTTCATTATAAATTATAGATTTTTTTTAAGATTCTTTTCAAAATTAACATGATCAACAGTTAATGTCATTCCAGAAGGCAGCATGTTCCATTAAGGAATTGTTCGATACACAGCTGTTCTTTTGAAAGCATTAGTCCAAGGCAGAGGTTACATAAAAGTAACAACAGAGGCTCGTAGTATTAAAAGCATGTCTACTGCAGAACTGCGAAAAAAGGCTGTAAGGTTTGACATGTTTGTTATCAGTTTGACATGACTGTCGACGAGGAAGAGGGCCGGCAACAGAGGACGGTGCGTGCCAAAAACACCATCTTAGCACCAACATAACTGGTTTGTTCCACTTTGGAGTAAGCTGTTTGGGGGAAGAATCAGTTTTGTTGTGTTTCCTTGACTGATGAAGCCTTCTGGATGGAAGGTGAAACGTTTCAGCAAAAAAAGAAACTGTCCAGATGACCTGACTGAAAATTGTTTGATTGTATACCTGGATTATTGAGCATGGACTTTTTTTGGTTTTGTTTTTAAAAGAGTTTTAAAAATGGACAGTGAAGGAGCAAAATAATCTCTTTTAGCAAAATATCTTAGGAACCAGAGAATGGATTTTAATGTACCTCTCAGAAAGTAATCATTGGATTGACACGTAGAACATCTTTTTGAGTTAACCGGATTTAAAATGGCCACCACAGCTAATCAACCTTTACAAACACATAAATGGCTATAACTCAGCTGAGCTAACATTTGGTGTTGTAGCTGATCCTCAATACTACAAACGAATAGATCATTAAAGATCTTTAGCATGAACTGTTGGGATCAACCTAATTTAAGATCCACGCAAAAGCTAATAGAATTTAGCCAAAACAAAAATGTCTACAACTCGGTCAGTTTTATATATTATTTCTATCTTAACATGTGATTCTGGACCTGCCATTGTGTATCTGTTCCTCTCAAACCCAGCCAGTCGAAGCAGATGGTCGCTTGTCCTGAGTCTGGTTCTGCTAAAGGTTTCTTCCTCATGAGGGAGTTTTTCCATTCCACTGTCGCCTTCATGCTTGCTCAAGATGAGAGTTCTGTGATGGAGTTAAATTCAAAGCAGTCTGCTCCTCAGATAAATAATGTTAAATTATTATTTTTATGCATGAACGTTTCTGTTCAGTGCCCTGAGATGACTTCTGCTGTGACTTGGCGTTGTATAAATAAACTGAATGGAATTGAATTTTACAGATATTGAGCTAAAATTGGACGCAACAGTAGCCGAGAGTCATTTCTCCCATGCAGACTAAGCTCTAACAATTTGTGTGGGATTTTTGTTTAAAACTTTTGCATCGAGTGAAGGGAGCGACTTCAGAGCATGCTGAGCTTTTCATCTGCGATAACTTTTCCTTTTCCAGGTGAAGGCTACGACAAAAACCTTAAGGAGATCCTTGATGCAGAGATTCTGCCCCTGGCTCAAGAGTTTGACCAAAAGTTGAACAGCGGTAACTCAACTTTTTCTTTTTTTTTTTTTCTAAACCTGCATCAATAAATGAGTCTGAATTTTTAAGTAAGGTCAGAAACTTAGCTGTACAAAAAAAAAAGATGCCCTAAAGCTTGCAATTCACAGAGATGCATTGAGCCAAATATTTCTGTCTTCCTCCTCCTCTCCATCTATCTATCAGAGAGCGTGTATGAGGCGAGGCTGCAGACAGCAGCAGACAATTTCATCGCAGCTGCCTCCAAACTGCCTAGAGGTGAGACGTGGCCTCCACCTCGCTTCCTTCATCTTTTCATCTAAAGTGAGGCACATATTGGGTCATTATAGCTCCTCCTGAACTCTAATCTCACTGTAATGATCGAGTTATTCTCAGGTTCTGTGAAGACTAAAGGAAGCAGGTTTAACTGACTCTTACTTATAGATGATGCAGTAAATCAGATAAGCAGAGAAAAATGCTGTTTTTTCTTTTCTTTTCACAGTTTCTGGGTGTTTCCCCCCATGCGGTTAGTGCCTTTTTCCTTTTGATTTCCTCTTGTTCATGTTTTAATAAAACCTAACCCAGTTCACTCACTGTTGGCTCTATCAGGTTTCCAGATCTTGGGTGCTGTGTACAACTGTATAACCTGTCAGTATGACTCCTGTGAGTTCCCCCTCGACTGTCCAGGTGAGATTCGGTACATCACGGTTTTTAAATATGTAAAGGAAGATGTGCTAATCCAGACTTGACACATCCTTAACTATCTATATTTTCACACTCCCTGAGTCCTGATCCATGGAAGGCTATGCTTTTGATCCTTCACAAAGCTCTTAGGGAAAAGAAAAAAGTCAGGATTTGAAAGAGAGACGGTGGAAAGGTTTTATTTCTACACATTATATCTTTTACACAGAGCCCTCGAGGTATTCTTTAAGTCGCTGGCTTCTTTATGTAAGGTGACGGCTGACTCCCACACATACGATGGTATTCCTATCACCCCTGTACAGCTCAGCCAATGTTTTAGCATATCATCACTTTTACTGCACTCCTCAGAGACTAGGCTTAAGTATTATCATTAAGGAAGGCTCAGACTGCGTGTGCACCCCCCTCTGAATGCTATCTGTGTGTGTGTGTGTCTGTGTGTGTGGGGGTGTGTGTGGTCTTGTGCATATTTCAGTTGAAGAGATTGCAGTTATAGAGAATAGCAGGAGCCGAATGTGGTGCGAGGTGCCATTTGCCCTGCCAAGTGATATTGAGGTGATCTGGAGGTTTGCAGAAGAGGTAAGCTCAGCATCGGATGATTCATGCAGGGGCAACACTTATTTATATAAATTATACCTCAGTGTTGTGTTAAAAACACAACGCACTGAGCTCTGTTTCCAAGAACTGGAGCCACTGTTTTAATCCTGGAAATTTGTTTATAATTCTGAAAGAGAGAGATCGAAACCAACCAAAGAGGATGCACAAAAGGGGCATAAATGAAGTGATGTGAAATGACCACAAGATAAAATGTGCAAAGAGACGAAGAAAACGCAAAAGCCCCTTAGTGAGTTGGAAAAAGTGTCCATATGGCAATAAAATTGTCTAAAAAAAAATTAAAGAAAACTATTAATATATATAAAACGGTGTTAATATCATAAGATCATCATGCGAAATGGTTCTAATAAAACAGTAAACACAAATATGAGGAGACATAAAATAACCACAAACACTGAAAATGAGCAGTGACAAGAAACAACCAAAAAAGTCAGATATAATCTGATGAAAATGACTCACAACAAACAAAAATCAACATGAAACAAACGTTATGACATGAAAAACATGACTGTGACGTCATATAAGATTAAAAAATAATTCTGATAATGTAGTCAGATTCAGAAAGTCACAAGCTATGTGTTCCTTTATTTATTTATTTATTTATTTATTGCTTAAACTTGGATTTTTAGTGTCCTGATTTGTCCTTTGTTAGACCAGAATGGGAGCGTTCTAGATGTTTTATAACACATTTCCAAATATCTTGAGTAGCATCCGTTTTTACCGGCGCTGCACATGAAGCTGCAAAAAACAAAACTGCTATTTGGGATTAAATTACCATTTACGCAAGATTATGGTTGTTTATTTTAACTAGTGCAAAAAATAAATTAACTTTAAGTTAAATTATATTAAATATTAACTAATTAATTATATTAATAATAATATTAACTATTAAGTTAAAGTTTGGTATGGTAGTAGCTGAGAGTGGTCACCGACACATACTCTGAGGCAGATCTTGTGAGATTTTAGTTTCAAAACATTGGCATGAAAGGCAGCAGCTGATATGTGTTATTTCAGGATATTTAAATTATGAATATGACTTCAAGAGAGAAGAAGACAAATTTCTATAATGCAATGTTTTTCAATCAGCCTATATTTGACAGCATCACGATAAAACTGAAATCTTGAAATTCTGGTATGGCCTTTGGTTTTGGTGTCATGTCAAGAGTATCAATAGCTCCCATGCAGCCATCTCTATGAACTTTTCCTAAAGACACCCCTGCTTCTGTTAGAGGACACAGTTCGTATTATTTTTCCTCCACAGGTCAAAACCCAAGAAATGGACCAGTTTAAGGAAGTGACTGCAGGAGTGGACAGGCTCTATTCCATCCCTTCCACCAGCACGCAGCATCAGGGCACCTACCAATGTGAAATTTACTCTGGAGCTCGCTCCATCGTCAGACTGTACTACTACATCTCAGGTAACAGGTTCGACTTGTGGTGAATTTTACTGGGGAAGACAATACTTAATATGTACAAAATATCTTGAGTGTTTAAAACTAAACGAATGGACTGTACTTATTTAGCACCTTTCTATACGATCAAGACACTCAAAGCGCTTTACACTACAGTCTGTGCCCTCATCTACCCATTCATACAGCACTCCACTATGAATAATCAGAGCTTCATCACATTCATACACTGATGGACACACATCGGAGGCAATGAGGGGTTCCGTGTTTTGTCTAGAGACACTTCAACATGTGACTGCTGGTGGAATTAAACCCCCAACTCTTGCAATGGAGGACGACTGCTCTAACTACACCTCTACAGCTGCCCCCACTAAAAGAAACTTCACCCAGTGTTTGGGTTTTTTGATATTCATCTGTTGTTTGTGGGTCTTTGTGCTTTCCATGACTTTACATCTTGGTGTTTCGATAATTTAATGTTTTGGTTCTTTCCCTATTTTTCTCAGCTGGTTTTGATTTCTGCTCTGTTTTCAACTGGTCCCAGTTAGTAATCATTACATCTGCTCTTTGTTAAGCCATACAGTCCTCAGCAGACAATATGGCTAAACATATTTGGCCACACTGGTTGCATGTTTAGTTCAGGTGTCTTAGTTAGGGGTTTAAACTTGGCTGCTTGGAAACTGTAAGTGGTCGGCATTCCAAGACATTTTGGCCATTTTTAAAATTCTAATTTTTTTGCACCACTTTGGTGAAACTTCAATTCCAGTGTCAGTGTACCCCAGTGCACAAAGCAGGGACTATGGGTGACATGGTTTGATGAGTTCAGCATGGAAGAACTTGACCAGCCTGCACAGAACCCTGACCTTAAGCTCATTAAACACTTCTGGGGTTGGCTGGAACAGAGATTGTGAGCCAGACCTTCTCATCCAACATCTGTGCCTGACTTGATGAATGAATGAGTGAAGATCCCCACAGAAACACTCTCTAACCTCATGAAAAGACTTTTACGAAGAATAGAAGCTGTTAGCTTCATAAACGTCCTGATCAGTAAGAATGATTGTCGTGTGTGCCCAAATACATTTACAGTATGTTTCTCTATGTTTAGTGAACAAGCTTTGACCAAAGTTACTGTGTCATGTCTGTGGCCATGTCTGTGCATTTTATTTTATTTTTGTGAAAATTATTGTCTGCCTCTGCAGCACCTTTAATGTTTGTTTTTATTTTAGTAAAGTTTCATCTTATTTATCAAATGGATACATTCATCCATTATCTTTACCCGCTTATTCCATTTTGGGTCACGGGGGTCGCCGGTGCCCATGTCCAGCAATCACTGTGCAAGGTGCGGGGTACACCCTGGATGGGTCAAATGGATACATGTAATATTAAAATTATTTTAGCCACTGACTGATTTCCCACAGCAGGTTAAAACACAACCTGAGTAAAAAAAAATCTAACAAAGTAAATATCCTGATTCATGCTCAGTAATCCAGGTAGAAAAATCTAACAAGGTTGAGTCAGGTCCTCTGGACATATTCTTCTTGTTGAAACATTTTGTCTTTTATCCAAAAGACTTCTTCAGTCTGAGGAGCTGCAACAAATGCAGTCTTATATTCAGTTCAATTCAGTTTATTTATATAGCGCCAAATCAAAGCAAAGTTGTCTCAGGGCACTTTACAGAAACATTCACATAAAAGCCAATTAGTAAAGTTCTCTATCTAAGGAATCCAGCAGACCAGGTGAATCTTGGCTTTGTTACAGTCTCCCATGCTGAGCAAGCACAGTGGCAACAGTGGAAAGGAAAAACTAAATTTTAAAAGGAAGAAACCTCCAGCAGAACCAGGTTCAGGACAAGCGGCCATCTGCTTTGACTGGCAGGTTGAGAGGACAGGAAGGAGAGACAGACGAACACAGAATGGTACGTCCAGGTATAGGTCCAGGTGTATCTGAAAGACAAAAAAAAATAACACATGTTAAGGATAGAAAAAATAATTACAAATACAAAACAGGTTGAGCAGAGTAAGTAAAGACAGTAGCAGAGTGAAAAGTGTGGTCAATTTGTCCTCCAGCAGTCTAAGCCTATAGCAGCATAACTAAGGGACAGCTCAGGAAACCCAAGCCGACCCTAACTATAGGATTTAGCAAAAAGGAAAGTCTTAAACCTAGTTTTAAAACTGGATAATGTGTCAGCCTCACGGACAGAGATTAGAAGTTGGTTCCACAAGAGAGGAGCCTGAAAACTGGAAGATCTGCCTCCCATTCTGTTTTTGTAAACTCTAGGAACCACAAGTAAACCTGCAGCCTGAGTGCGAAGTGCTCTGTTAGGAAAATATGGAACAATAAGATCTTGAATATAAGATGGAGCCAGGTTGTTGAGAGCTTTGTAGGTTAGAAGTAGGATTTTGAATTATATTCTGGATTTGACAGGGAGCCATTGGAGAGAGGTTAAAACTGGAGAGATATGATCTCTCCTACTAACTCTGGTTAAGACTCTGGCAGCAGCATTTTGGATCAACAGAAGATGTTTTATACTGTACATAGCACCTTCTCATGGATCAACCAGTTTGATGGTGCTTAGGTGGTTTCTGTAGTCTGCCTTCTCCCTTGCTGCTTGCTCGAACTCTTGAACTGGTTTGAGGCCATCCTGGCCAAAATGGTTCAAAATATTCTGATGCATGTTCAATAATCCAGGTAGAAAAATCTAACAATTAAAGTAAAATTAAAAATAACATAAAAAATTAAACAACGTGCATTTAAAAAAAATACACTGAAAGGTCTAGTTTAATTAGTCATCTTGTTCTCTAGTCCTCCATTTGGGCCCAACAACCATGAACCTTGGAGACAATCGTGTTTTGATCCATAATAACAATAATTAAAAAAATTAAAATAGGTTGCTGGGGAAAAATAATAATTTTGGAGCTTCGCGCATTGTTAAATTTAAAATGGAAGCAAAATAGAAGCCTGGAAAACGTATTCAGCGTTCAATTCTAAACAAATTAGATTGCAAACAAAATTATAAGTACATGGTCATTCATAATCCTAAAACATTTTATATCAGTAATATTTAAACCTCATGTTATAATAAAAAATAAAGGATTTGAACATACAAAACAGTTTTCATCCAATAATCTGACCAACCACTCTCAAAGTAAACTCACAAAGGACGTCATTTCACAGAAAAGTGTGCACAGAAATGCAGATCGGTCGTTTCAAACCCATTATATAATCTGTTCTGCATATTTACTCCTGGTTTCTTCTCTCCGTCTCTCAGTGACCCCCCAGCTCGTGGTGGGCCGCACAGAGCTGCAGGAGTTATTTGACCTGTCTCTGCTCCCAGGAGGACAGTTTCCCTCCATGCCTGATGCTTCTCCCCGCTCCTTCCAACACCTCCTCCTATTTCTTCTCACCACCTGTTTAACCACTTCAATGCTGCTGCTGTTCTTCTCCCTGGGGTACACCAGCGCTATTGTTTGCACATTATAAGACATTAGCAACATTGGACACCTGTCCTGTGAGTACAAGATACCTGTTGCCATGGCACATGCATAATAGTATTTAATGTCACTGTTTCAGGGTGCTGTGTTGGACTTCAGTGTCAGAACAAACCCACCCTGATGAAGACTCAGATGAAGAAGATGATTAGGATTCGGAGAGTTGTTGCGATGGATAAAACAGCCCAAATTAAATCATTTCAGCAAACGTTAGATCTTCTGTGGGGAATTACGTCACAGTTTACTGAAAACCAGTGTTGAATTTTTTCCCCACTAGAGGACAGAAAAGTCAGTGTCAGTTTTGTAACAGCTCATTATGATGCTGTCTGCAAAAAAAGCACACGATTCAAGTTCAGACAAATAAAAATATCTGCTTAGATAAATTTAGTATTTCTAAAGTGAAGCTCTGTTTCTGTAGACTAGTTTTTGTTCCACATTGCATTTGCATTCCACCAAAATTTAGGAGGATCTTTGTGTTTGGTCTATTTTATATTCACACCTGCAGCTGCACATTTGCATGCATGATACAGAGTCGTTAACGTCTTGTAAAAATGAAAAGAAAGCCAACAAAAAAACTGAAACAGGACTTGAGCGATGCATCATCAGATGATTCTGTGCTGCATGTCAAGTTTTAATCCCATGAGAAGAATACTGCTCAGTGTTTGGCACTAAATCTTTACACTAAAATCAGTTGTTACTCAAATAAGAGGCTCCGTTTTCCTGCAGATGATCAGATCTGTGGAGTGGCACAGATAGCAACAAGATCTGGTCAGACAGAGAAATAAAGGACAATAAATAAGTTAGGTTTATTTCAGCTGAGTTGGAAGTTTTAGCACATTTTGGAAGGAGACTGATTTGTCATCTCAGAACAGTTTGATAACCAGTGTCAGGTAGGACAGGAGGTAAAACTTTACTGACAAGAGCAAAAGATCAAACTGACTCAGGGTGTACTTGTGTGCTGTATGTGACCCAGTCTGCATGTTCAACACCTGATTAAAAAATTCTGGATAAGGCTGTCAGATATTTCACATGTTGAAATTTGATTAATTTTACATGTTTTACAATAAAATTAAACATGAACTAAACTTCAATGATAAAATATAAATATGGAAGTAAAACATATTTTACAACGTGGACATGCAGATCTGCTTAGTGACCACTAGGTGGCAGCAGCATACACAGATCCATTGAGGAGGAGATTTCAGAAAGATTTTTTTTTTGTGTGTGTGTGATTTCATAAAGTTAGAACAAGTTTTAGATTAATGTTGCACTTCAGTGACTTTGCTCTAATCCTCATCAAGATTGTGACACCAAGTGAAGGTGGTTGCTAAAGACAACTTCTTAAAAACAAAACTCTGTGGACAGGGAAGTAGTTCAATTGCAAAACTTTAAACAGTAATGTGACACTGTAGTCATTTGATAGCCCCTTTATGCAAGAATTAATCACTCTGTGTTATAAATTTGCACAAACCCTTCGGATGTGAGGGCTTTTCTTTTTTGTTCAGTAAAAAAAATTATGATCTATCAAATTCTGGTATTCAGGTGTGTTTGTAAAGAATTAAATATTTGAGTTATGAGATGTATCAAATGCCATTTAAAGCTGGTAACTTTTAAAGCATTTTTGCACAAAAATACTTGTGAAAATGTCCAGAAGTGTCCATGACAGCGTGTGAGAGTGATGCCATAAAGAGGTTAGGGCTGTGAGCTACGTTTTAGGGCATGGTCAGTGGGTCAAAGGACACCTTACACTAACAAGTCTGCATAAATGTGTCCGAATGATGTAACAAGGGCGTACTTAATACTATTTTAAACTCTCATAAAAGGGAGTACCAAATTGAATTTACTGTTTAACTGATTAAGCTGTATCTAAAGGGAAATCTATATTTAAATTACTTGATTTATTTGGCCTTATGAATCAGATCTCAATGGCTGAAGGCTGAATTTGTTTATTCCAAGGAGCTTTCATCATAACAGTTGGCATCAAATAAAACAAGTTTGTCTTTTTTGGGATTTTATTATGAAATAAAACGTCTCTCGGCTGGCCTGGGAACGCCTTGGAGTCCTGCCATAAGAGCTGGGAGAAGTGGAAAGAGATGCCTGGGCCTCCCTGCTGAACAAGAGGATGGATGGATGGATGGATGGATGGATGGATGGATGGATGAATGGATGGATGGATGGATGGATGGATGGAT